TCTATTAGCCCAGCAATCCTATTTCTTAGGAGCTCATCCTCAAATTTAATCATACACAGATGGAATGTTTTCAAGAATAACCACACAGTAATCACTATAGCCAGCATCGCACAGCCCTGTGGGAGACACTGTTAGATGTTGTTGAGCCGACTACAACTCAACAACCCTATGAACAATAGAGCTGAACCTTGTCCTATTCTGAGTCATCCTTTGACTTCCTTAACACATTTCTTTCCATCACCTTGAAATCTGTGGTTCATGTACAGATTTACAATGGCTGTGCTATAAATTAATGCAATGCACAACTATCCGTGACAGCCCTGACTATTGTATGAGTTGAAAGAGCAAAAGATAGAGAACAAAGCAAGTGTTCATCAATGAGGAATAGTCAAATAAATGATAAAACTAATCTCACTGCCATCACGTAGATTCGGACTCACAGTGACCCTCCATCTGGAGGCTTACTGGGAGGAGACTACCCATCTTTCTTCCACCAAGCAGCTGGTGGATTCGAACAATAAGGATTGCAATCCACAGAACAAAGTAAGAATCAATGATTCCACATTGATAGAAACAAGTGGATGAAGGAATAAATTTAAAAAGTGAGAAATGTCTGGGAGGAGACTACCCATCTTTCTTCCACCAAGCAGCTGGTGGATTCGAACAATAAGGATTGCAATCCACAGAACAAAGAAAGAATCAATGATTCCACATTGATAGAAACAAGTGGATGAAGGAATAAATTTAAAAAGTGAGAAATGTCTTATTGTTGTTATGTGCTGTCAAGTCAACTGCAACTCATAGCAACCCTATACAATAGCTCCAAATACTGCCCTATCTGGAGCCAGGCTCACTGTCTCTGACACACTTACTCTCCATTACCCCAGTTTCTGTGTCAATCCATCTCATCCAGGGTCTTCTTCTCCTTCACTGCCCTTCCACTCTTCCAAACATGATATCTTTTTTCAAGAACTGGTCCCTCCTGGTAACATGCCCAAGTATGTGAGATGGAGCTCCAAATACTGTCTCCAAAGAGCAACTTGGTTTCGCCTTCTCCAGGACAGACCTTGTTCTCTTGGCAATCAATAGGATGTTCAGTGCTCTTCTCTAGCATCACAACTCAAAGGCGTTAATTCTTCTGTCATTCTTAGCCACTGTCCAGCTCTGATGCAACGCAAGTGATTGCAAACACCACAGCCTGGATCAGGTGCACCTCCCTTATGGTATAAGGGGAAACTGGAAAATCACTGTGGTGCCATTGATCACTTTTACATGATCTTTCTTGCCATGGTCTTAGAACATCCAACAGATGATTGGGTAGGACTATGCAGATAGAGTGCTGTGACCCACAAGGAAACAGCACAGATTACTAACTAACAATGCAAACGAGATACACAGACTGCTTGCAGGGGTGGGACCACGAGAATTAGGCACAGGAAATCTTAGTGAGATGTGTCTGCTTTTTCATCCCTTTAGGTTTAAAACAAAGCATCCAAAAAGTGGAAAGAGGGGATCTCACTACCATCAAAGAGAAAGGATACATACAGAGCATGTCTTTTGGATTTGGGGTCAGGTGTTCCTAGATCCAGGCGTCAGAGAGGGAGATGTAACACCAAGGACAGTGAGAGACCATGAGAAGCAGTGTCAGAAAATGCAGCAGAATTGGGAGAACTAGGAAGGGGCATGAGAAGGCCTAGCTCATATGTGAGGCAGCAAGGCTGCATGTGCCGACTCACATAGCAAAAGAAATGAGTAGCTCAGAGTCTAGGCTTACTGTTGGGGTCGGTGCCTCCACGCACTTATTGGCAGAGCTACAAAGAGCTTTTAACACTGGCTCAAACATGTCTGAGACCAGACCAAGGGGCCAGGGGCCACAGAGATGACTGCTGTGGGCAGAGCTGAGAAGCTGTCCTCATCAAAGAACTGTATCCTGACTTATTAAGGTCAGTAACTGATCTTGCATTGTAACCTATTACTCCCCTGTGACTTATGTGTTGTCATGCAACAAATTCTCCAAGCCAACAGGGACGTAAAGCTTGCCAGAGCAATGGCTAGTGTCATAACTGGTAATGGGGAGGGGGGAAGAGCTAGTAATGAAATTGGAGGTTCAAGTTCTGTCTGACATCTATCTCACAAGAATCATCAGCCTTGGGCTGTTGATACTTTTTATTCTCTCCCCTTCCCCTGTGAGGTCAGATGATACCCCCATCTGTGCCATTTTTAAAATCCACATTTGGTAATCACAGTAAGGAAGACTGATGAAGAACTGATGCCTCTGAATTGAGTTGTGGTCTGGAGAAGAGCACTGAATATGTCATGGACCACCCAAAGAACAAATGAATCCATCTTGGAAGTACAGCCAGGATGTTCTTTAGAAGCAAGACAGTGAGGCCTCAGCTTACACATTTCGGGTATGTTGTCAAGAGGCCAGTCCCTGTAGAAGAGCATCATGCTGAAAAAAGCTGGAGGTCAATGAAAGAGAGGAAGACAAATGAGATGGACCGGCACAGTGCCTGACATCAGGGTGGAAGCACAGTAGAGACGGTGCAGGACCAGGCAGGGCTTTGTTTGCGATACAAAGAGTTACTGTGAGTCAGAGCTGACTCAAAAGCACCTATCAACAAAAACAACAACATGCAATAATTTCAGGGAAATGATGGGTGCTAAATCTAGGGAGTGAACAGGACATTTACATAGCCTCAAAGTGTGCTCTCACAAGACATCTACTGATTGCAAAGAGAACAGTAACTGAAAGTGGAGACCCTGCTTCAGAACAATAACAAATAACCACAGACCATCAAGTCAAGCTTGACTCATGGTAAACCATATGCTGTAAAGGAGAAGTGCTTGCTCTATCGTGTTACCTCAGTCAATTCTGACCCACAGCAACCCTACAGGACAGAGAACTGCTTCATAAGGTTTACAAAACTCCAAGTCCTATGGACGCAGGGCACATCCAGTCCCCTGCCTTGAGGTTAGCAGCTATCTTAGTTATCTGGTGCTGCTGTACCACAGATACCACGGGTGAATGGCTTATGGAGAAGCAGCAAGAATAGTGTAGAGAGGAAAAAAGGAAGAATGGTATATGGAACACTTCACCCAGTTGCCTAAATATTAAATTTGACTTTATTATGATTCGACATCAGTGTGTGCTGCCTGAGCTCCAGTTCATGTTATAGAACCACAGAGCAATCATGCAAATCAGGAAGTTAAGCTGGTGCAATGCTGCTCTCTAAACTACCGAAATTATTCAATCCTGACTTGTTGAAGAAATCAGTTTTCCTGCAGGTATCCAGGGAATGGGGGTTGCATTTAGATATTCTGTCTCTTAGGAATCTAAAGGACATTAGTCCTAGTGAAATAAATCAGTCACACAAAAGGAAAAATATTATATAAGATTATTTTTATAAAAAGCTGAAGACACCTCCATAGTCCTTCTATTTGTAACTCACAAGTTTTCTCTAGGTTTGCTCCCTTTCCTATAGGTAACCTTAACACTGAGTTTTACTCCAGACATGAACCCTGATCCCAGTTCCAGAGATAAAAAGGGAAATATAACTGCCAGCTAAGGAAGCAATGGAGGATGGAGCCTCAGGATTCAGCCAGCCATCCCCACTGGACCCACCTTGGAAAACACTTTGCAGTCCAGAGGGGAGTAAATGTCAGGAAAATATCTTCTAACAGGACAAGAAGGCATGCAGCGTCAACTCAGGACCACCAGCAAGGTGTTAAAATGGGCTCCCCTTCCCCCTTCACATCAATGCCCCAATTCAGCAGGAAGAAGCCAGAGAGTCTGCACCCCATTCCAAAATGAGAAACCCATAAGTGAATAAGACGATTTCTTTGTTAAAAAAAATTAATCACCATTGGACTATGCTCACCATCACCCTTTCTCTTCTGGTTCCCACTGGATCTCTCTCATTTCCTTCACCTACTCCCCTCACCCACCAAATTGTGCAGCCCTGCAATTCTTCCCTGCCCATTCTCACCCTTCTGCTCCCAACCGTCATCCCCTTGTATCCCCATACATGTTTTTCACAATAAATAAAATTTAAATTAAAAAAAAAGCTGAAGAAAGATTTACACACATATAGAATCATTCCAGTATGGTTATAAAGGAGGAAAAGGAATGAATAGATAATGAATACTTAAATGGGTAAAGAGAATGAATGAGCGGATGATTGGGCACTGTGGGTACTACAATTCATGTATGGAATAAAATATGAATTAATGATTGATTAAAAAATATACTTTGTAAATTTCCCCTCAGTTACAATTTTTTTTTGCTACTTATTTAAAAATAAAAAGAGAACTCTGGTGGTGGTAGCCTGTAGGAAATGATGGTGCTAACCTCTCTGAAGGTTCAAATCTACCAGCACCACTGAGGGAGAGTAATTGGCAATCTCTTTCCACGCAAGTTGTTGTTGTTGTTATTGTTGCTGTTATGCATCATCAAGTAAAACTCACAGTCATCCTATGAATAGCTTATCTGACCCCTCCCCTACATTGGGCCAGCATCATCATCTCTGACATACATGAGCCCAATGCTGCAGTCACTGTGTCAATCCATCTTGTTAAGGGTCCCCCTCTCTTTCAATGACCTTTCCAAGCATGGTAACCCCATAGCCTTGGAAAACCTACCAGAGGGTCAAATATGAGTCTGTTCTGACACAGTAGTAATGAGTTGAGTTTTATCTCTTAAAAACCAAAACTCTATAGATAAAAGTAGAACTGCCTGAGAATGTTTATAAAACTATAAATCTTTATAGGAACACAGAGCTTCATCTTCCTCCTAAATGGCAGTGGGTGGGTTTGAACCATTGACCTTCCAGTTAGTAGCCACGTGTTTCCACTGTACTCAGACACTGTTTTATCCCTATTTTACAGACAAGCAGACTGAGACTCAGGAAGACTGTGGTTAGAGATCAACATTGTACCAGAGTCCAGTGGCTCCTTCCCTCCCCTCCTCCCCCAATTCCCATTCCAGTCTCAGGGCCCACCTTTTGGAAGTCCTTCTTGGAGATGAGACCACGGGGATCAACGATGTAGTCCTGGAAGGCCTCTGAGCCCATGATGTCCTTGAGTTTCAGAAACATGTCAAAGAACTTGAGGATCATTTCCACGTTGGATGAGGATTCCACCAACATGTCCACCATCTGCCGGGCAATCATGCCGTTCACCACGTTCCCTGTGGGCAGGCCTTGGTCAGTGTGGTCCTAGGGAGTCTCCTTTCTGGAGCTCACTGGGTTCACCTCCCTCCCTGGCTCAGAAGCCATGTGTGGCCACCCAAGGTCTACCATGCTGGTGGGAGTCTCCCTGACCAGCCCGAGTCACTTCCTGTTTTTCAGCAACACCACGTGTGCACCTGGCAGGTCCTGCCTCTGCCCGTTGCTCCCACCTGCTGTTGCTGTTGTGTACCATGGAGTCAGTACTGACTCACAGCTGACTCTCCAGCAGGTTTTCAGAGGCAGTAAATCACAGGGGAGGAGATTGCTCATCCTTCTCCCACGGAACAGCTGGTGGGTCTGAACCAGACAACTTTGTGTTGCGAGCACATCTCTTTACTACTAAGCCACCAAGCAGATTTCTCTCCCACTAGCTGCGGGGAATCATCAATGAACGTTACAATGGCCATGCTCATGTAGATGCCAGGTGCCATGCCAAGAACTGCCCTGGCATGACTTCAGGACAACCTTGTGAGGAAGGTGTGTTACTGTCCCCTTTTACAGACGAGGAGACTGAGATTAAGAAAACTACAGTTATGTAGCCAGTAATGGTGTGGAAGGATTTAAGTCTAGGACCACATGGTTTCAGAGTTTATGTACCTAGGCCCTCACATACCTAAGCTAGTTCACATATAAGCTAAGAGCTTATATAGCCAAGCTTTTCATTTCTGAGTTTACAGAGGCCAGGCAAGTGCATGGATGAATGAGGTAGGTCAAAGGTTAGGCAGCGGGGATGTGCAGAGACTGTGGCAAACTGGGACACCACATCCTCTCTAAAAGGGGCTTCAAAGGTGTAGTTCTAGTTTATATTTGAACCTTTTAAAATAGTTCTAAATTATGTAGAAGTTGCAGGAATAGTATAGGGAATCCCCAAATATTCCAGATTAATCTAGTGTTTACATTTTGCCCCATAAAGTGTATAATTCTATTTCTTTTATCACTTCTTATCCACATATGTGTATGTGTACATAGAAATATTCTTTTTTTTTTAACAATTTGAAACTAAGTTAAAAACATGAAGCCTTTTCCAGTATAAATTTCCTAAAACCTACAGGCATCCTCTTGCAGGCTTACAGTACAGCCACTTAAATCAAGTATTTAACATTGAAACAATATTTAAACGAGTGTAGCTGATTTTTGTCTTGTGGGTGGGTATGTAGGCTTTGGGTCACTAAATCATATTTTCTTGAAAAGCTGGAAATCTAAATATTTAGGTGGAACTTTTTATTTTAAAAAAGCTAGGTTTTTAAAAACTGACATATCATATGAAGATTATTTATTTCAACATTTTAGTTGCTAAATATTTTAAAACTATTTTAAAAATTAATGTCCACCAATAGGGGATTAGTTAAATGAGTCACTATATACCTGCACAATTTATACTATGGAATCATGTAAAAGAGTGAAGATACTCTTTATGAGTCTTTATAAAAGATCCTCCCTATACAAAGAAACTGGAACTACTACCCAAACAGATACATGCACACCCATGTTTATTGCTGCATTGTTCACAATAGCAAAGAGGTAGAAGCAACTCAAGTGCCCATCAACAAATGACTGGATAGAGAAGCTGTGGTATATTCACAGAATGGAATACTCCGCAGCACTAAAAAACAAGGAGCTCATAATACATGATATAGAATGGGTGACCCTGGAGGACATTATGCTGAGTGAAATATCTCAGTCACAAAATGACAAATACTATATAATGCCACTGTTCTAAAGCAGGATTGAAATGGGGGTTGGAGGGAAACTAAGAAAAGAGGGGATAAATAATGAACACTGCATTGAAACAAATGAGAGAAAGAACTGTCTAAAAGAAATATATGATTAGGTATTATTTGCATGACATTAGTCCAGACTAAGAGCTGCATAGAAAAGTGGACTTGAGGGCAGGGGGAGGGAGGAAACTGCAACAATGAAAGACTCTTTTTAAAGACAAAAGTGAACTGGGGGTGGGGGATTAGGGAGAAAAATGTACAACAAAGTACGAGTGGAAATCCAAATTTTCTGTAAACTTTTGTTAAAATAGAAATTCGAAAAAAAAGAAAAAAAAGTAAAAAAGATCTTCTCTGGGGGAAAAAGAAAATCTTTGTCCTATTAGTAAAAACAATAACAAGAAAAACTAAAGTCTAGAAAAACATTTATCACACCTTAGCAGAAATCAAGGATGCTTTGGGCAGAATGTTAAATGATCCAGGAAGTATGAAAAGAAGATGGAAAGAATATACTGAGTCACTATATCAAAAGGAATTGGCAGACACAGAAGAATTTCATGAAACAACATATGAGCAAGAGCCTAT